TACGTCAAATATATCCGATATGTCATATACGTCGAATCTATCTAATATATCCTATTTGTCGATCATGTCAAATATGTCATATATGTCAGATTTGTCGATCATGTCAGATATGTCATATATGTCAGATATGTCAGATTTGTCGATCATCTGCGCCACGTAGGTCCTATCATATTTTATTCGTTCACAATACAGAATATTTGGAAGAATTATTCAAAAACTTTATTTTTTGCTCTGCTAAAGACTTTGAATAGATATAATTTATTTTTATAATTTAAAAATTTATTTTTATTTATTAATTATGATAATATTTTGTAAAGAAATGATTTAAATTGTTTACAAATGCAAAAATGTAATACAATTTTGCATAGTTCTTCAAAACAAATAACTTGTAATAAACATCTTTTTATTTAATTATACAATATTTACAAATATTTAATTGAATTTATTTATACCAGATAATTTAGAAAGTTATCTATTTATTGCTATAGTTTCAAAAGGAATTCATAATTACTTACCCTCTCCTTTTGTAACTACACCATTTAATATTTTGGAGTAACTTAATGAAATTATTAAATATAAAGATATACTTGATCTTATAGCAAGAAAATTATTAACAGGTTAATTATATCTTATTAATTTTTTTTTTTAAATTGAATTTTTATAATTTATTAATTAAACTTTTTAATTAGAACAAATTTTAAAAATGTATTTGAATAATATTGCTTCTATTAATAATCTTCACATCTCAGTAAACAATTTAACAAAATTAAATTACTATATAAAAAAACAAAGAAAATTGCAATATTCATATGGAAGCAATTTAATGGGTATATTAAATAATGTTTTTTTAATTCATTTAATTTATACTAAAATTTATTAAATAATTTATTTAGGAATTATTCATGAATTATTACGTTAACAGTAATGTGATACTTCTTATATTAGAAATATTCGTAAATATTACATATTTTATAGTAAAATTTGATTAATATAATCAGAATCTAATATCTTGACGTAAAACAATCAAATTTTTATAAAATACATCCATTAGGACCACCATAATAAGCGCTTTAAAATAAGATATTATTTATTCAATTTGGATCATTAGATGCCAAGATATTATTTTATAATAAGATTTACTGTGCTACATCATGAAAATTAAAAATGATCAATGAAACTTTACTGCGCTATTCGTAAATATCGCATTAAATTACTAATTGATTAAATTACTTCATTTTTTTAGATATTTTTGATAGAAAATTTTTTATTGTTTGTATGACTAAGCAACAATCTATAAAATTTTAAAATTTAAAATATTTTGAAATTGATGCTACTTTTAAATGCGTTAATACAATAATTAATAAAATACTATTAAGGAATGGGAAATAATTTCCTATATTGAAAGTATTAATAAAAGTAAGTCTTATTAATATTTGAAAGTTATAATATATTATATTTAATTAATTTAATAATTTTTTTTAGCTTTAACATTTGCAAGAGTTTTACTAATGTAGAAACTTTTGATGCATAAAAGCATATATTTTATGAAGTATTTTCTACTATTAAAAAGGATAATAGAAAAGAAATTGAATTTAGTTATTTAAATTCAAATTCTAATGGTATAGGTTGCATTATAGCTGATGCTTATAAAGGTCAAGTCATTGGTAAATATATTAAATTTTATTTATTTTAATAATTATAAATAAATTACACTAATAAAATTTTTTTAGGTCTTGATAAGTTTTTACATGAAAGATATCCAAGTATGTCTATTGAAGAACATCTTATGCATATTTATAAAATATGTATTATACATTATCATAGGTTTGTAATAGTTAATTAAATTAAAAGATTTATAATTTGCATTTCTTTATATAATATAATTTCTATTTATTTCAAATTAAAAAATGTATCTAAAGAAATAAAAAATATTATGAAATCTATATTAACTCTTAAAACTCAGGATGAAGTAAATAATGTATTTGATATTATTAAAAATTGTAAATCTAAAGTTACAAGAGGGTTGTTATTTATTATATAAATATATAATAATTTGTCATAATGATTATTTTTTAAAATTCTGATTGAAATCTTTATTTATAAATTGTAAATTTGTAGATTAGCTTATAGATAAAAATATATCTTAAGTTTTATCAGCAATTTCTTCAGCTTTTACTAAAATGGATTTTGAAATTTGGAATACAAGCAGAAATAATACAAATGTTAATGAAAGTGCTTATTATAATATCAATTTAGATAGAACTTCATTATTATTACTTGTAGCAATTAAAAAGTAAATTAAATCTATATTTATAAATTGGTTAGTATTATTATATTAATTATATATTTATTCTATATAGAGCTGAAAATTCAATAATAGAGAATGGAATGCAGCATCAAATTTTGAGAAATACAATGTATCTACAAGTGGTAAAAATAAATCACAAGTACAAAAATTTAATGAAGTTTCTAAAACGTTTAAGTAAGTAATTATTTAACTATTTTATTATTAAATGTATTTAAAATACTTAAAATTATATTTATTATAGAAAGTAAAAAGAAAAAGAACCAGAAATAAGTGATAATTTAGCAATAGCAACATTTTCAAGATCACCTAAAAGACCAAAAAATAAAAATAATTCAAATGAAATTTTACAAATTAATAATATTGAAGCAAGACAATAATGGTTAGAGTAAAAGAAGCAGACAGTTAAATTATTAAGACAAAAGGTTGCTTTAGAAAAAAATTATCTGAGTTGAGAAATAAAGAGAATATTGATAAATAATATATATTTTCTTATATTTGATTTTGGATTTTATAAATTTTAAATAAATAAATAAATATTTCTTGATTAAATGAAATATTTTTTAAAATAAAATTATCATTTTATTTTTAAAGAAAAAAAATAGTCAGAATTTATTATCTTTTTGATAAATAATTTTATTATTTATTTAGTTTAAATACAAAGCAAATTGTTAAAAATATTTATAAATTTATGGTAACAGCCTTATGAATAGCGCAATAATAAAGACTATAAATTTTTTTCCAAAAAATAATCAAAGTTAGTCTAAACAAAATAGTATAGTTTATAAAAAAAATTTTTTATAAAACTTTTAAAAAAAATAATTAATCTTTATATACAATTTGAGAGGCAGAGTAAAACCAGTACAATACGATACGATTATAAATTTTAAAAAAGTACTGTACTATACTATACTAGTTCTATAATAGATATTATAATAGAATATTCATATATAGGACCAGTACAGTACAGTACAGTACTTTTTCATAACTTATAATCGTACTATATTGTACTGGTCTTATTAATATTATAGAGCTAGTATGATATGATCATAATTTTAGATGATTATACCAATTAGTATGATCATATCGTATTGATCAGCTGAACTATACTGTACTAGTTTTCCTTCTCCTCGCAAATAAGATTTACGCAATGTTAATTTTGAGAATAAGTGGTATGAAATAATACTTGCTATATTTAAGATTAAAATAATTAAAATAATAAATATAAAATCATTGTTATATAATAAAATATATTGTTTAAAATAATATCATTATAATTGAAAATTGCTGATAATATTTCTGCTATTTTTGTGATTGAACTGATATATTCTTTGTCATCCTATCTAAAGATTTCATTATATCAGTATTTCTTGATCATAATACCTTTTTAATGAATCTTTATAAAGTATACAAAGAATTTTAAGCTCTTAATTCAGTCATGTTCATTCCATTTAACTATCTTAGCAAGATATTTATTGTTAAATTTTCTGATTTCTGTAAAGAGTAAAACATATTTTTTCTTTGTTAAATATGAAAATGACATTTTGATTTTTTTGTATATTGTATCATAAAAAAATTTTTCCTTAACAAATTAAATAAAGAAAAAATCAATGAAGCTTAATAAGTTGTAGTTTTTTGCTTTCATTGTTATTTTTATAAAAAATAATTCAATGATAATACTTATGTTAATTTTGAATAAGCTATTAGAAGAAGTTCAGAAATAATGTCATTTTAAAAGGGAATAGAGGTTTAATTCATGATGACGTTTCACAAGTTTTATCTAAGTTAATTATATATCTCTTAAAATAGATAACAGGGAAAAAGAGAAGAAGAGATCAAAATTTCTAAAATTTTAATGATTCATTTCTGATTCTTTCTTTATTATGCAGATTTCTATTTTAGATAACTTCATATTTTTACTTTTTATAATTCAACCAATTACTAAATATGTTTCTAAAATATCAATCAAAATCATAGAAATTCTGATCTTTATATATTTATTCTCCTTTTTTTGATAAGTTTATTAAATTTTCAATAAGGTAAAACAAACTTATAGTATTGGTTTTCATATCAGAAATTAGATTTATGTGACCAGGCCACCCAGATTTTTATTTTTAGAAGAAAAAAATTTTTTAATAAATAAAATTTATTCGGGATTTTTATTGTTTCACAACCTAACCATCCGGTCAAAAATTTTATATTTTAAAATTTTTTTAAACTTTCTGTATTACGCATTAATATAATAACTATGATTTATTTAACATCCAATTTTATATATTAAAAATATAATAAACTATGATTTATTATTATACATTAATAATTTTCAATTATTCATAGAAAATATAACATTTCTCTATTTAAAAGATTTGATATATATATTTTTTATATATGATTAATTTTGTTTCATTACTAAATCAAATTTAACAGCAATATTGATAATGAATTATTAAATTTAACAATATTATTAATGAAATAAAAAGGTGAATGTGTCCCTGAGTGACTTCCTTTTTTTGACTGTGTTCTTGAGCGATAAGTGTATCCCATATCCATAAAGAATGAAAATTAAAATTTATAAAGCAATATTGATAACTAATGCATTATGAAATTAAGGTATTATTAGCAAAATAAAAGATAACTGCGTCCTTGAGCAACTTTCTTTTATGATTGCACCCATAAGTAAAATTAAAATGTGAAACATAATTCACGTATATAAGCTAATAATAAGAAAAGATAAAAACGTATCAAAACAATCTTTCATTCGAACCTTCTAACTTTTTTCAAAAATGCTATTTGCAAATATATGTATCTCTAAATGATCAAAAATTCTATCCCTTATGAAATGACGATTGAAAATTTTTTTGTAAAACTTATAACTAAAGAGCTATCTTCTGAATGCAATATTGTTGTAACAAGTTCTGAAGTAATATAATGTGTTGAGATAAGTGAGACACCAGCTGCAGTTGCAACCTAAGTTAGCTCTATCTGTAGTATTATGGAATTTCGACAAGTATAGAAATATGTATACAATATCGGCTTAAAACTGATGATAATATAATTTCTAATCTGGTAATACAGCAGAACAGCCTTATGATCTTAATGCAAAATGCATATCAAACCCAGCTGCACTTACTAACCTTCTTACAATTAGGTAGAGCAAATTGTAAACAAAAACTGTGCAATGATCTTATTGATTGGATTCACCTTTATGATAGAAAATGGTCCACTCAATCATATGCTAATATATAAGGGAAGCAATTTATTAATAACCTGACTGAAACGATCTGATATACTGATATGTGTAATCATTAAAAACTTGAAAAGCGTAATTACCACATACCTGAACTCTTTCTTGAATTTTTTGGCTGTGCAGATCCAGAATCATATAAAGAATTACGAAAACCTTTGATGCAATGAACTAAATTTACATTGCCAAGTTCTTGCATCATATGCTACATCATCATGGATGTTAATGGCAAATTTTAACTGGCTCTGTGATGCATTTGACAGTTTTATTGTTTCAATTTTGAATTATGTTAGATTTTTACGACGTTAACGTGATATTACTACTGTAAATCATGCATTAGAAACTCCTATATGATCTGTTGATCAAGCCATAACAATCAAAGTCTATAAGGGAAATATTTTGATGACATCTGTTGATAAGGCCAAATATTATCATCTCGAATAATCGCTTATTGATTTATTAATATAGAAAATAGTTGATCTTGAAGAATACCTGCCAATCGATTCTATGTAAGTAAAAAATAATATTTTTAAAATTATTAGTATAAAAGCTAATGAAATAATTTGTTTTATAGAAATAGAATGCGATATATCCAGGGTTTATCTTGCATATTTTCCTTCAAAATTGGAGAGTATTGATTCAACACAAAAAACAATGCTTTTAATGCAATTTTAGTATAAAAAATCAACGAACAGGCTGATAAAATGATAATTTCACAAGAGAATAAATGGATTATAAGTGAGTTACAAGCTGATGCACCTATTATCATACACAAACAATGAGAATAAACTATCTACGTACCTGTAATATGCTTCTTCTAAGGACTAAGCCATCATCATTTCGAATAATTTATCGAATGCTGACAGGTGACAACTCTACAGCTGAAACTGCAAATGAAGTGAAAGTTGATGAACGTGTTAGAATAGCTTTGAATCTCAGTGATCTAAAATTACCATTGATTTACATAAGCATAACAATAGAAGAGCTAGTAAATATGATAGTTTTTGAAAATTGCAGCTCAGTTTCTTAAAGGAAAGGCAACAGATGCTGTAACTGTTGTAGATAAATTTAGGCATGATCTAATCATTTATCTTGCAACTGCTATCTCGGTAAATGACCTTTTATATCAAATTGAGCATAAGTGTCCACCTGAAATACCAATTCCTAATGCGTAATGGTTACAATTACAGTTTTGGTCTAAAAATCTAACACAGCTTAGTAACTTGTAATTCACTGATCGTTTACCTTTAAAGTTTATGGTTCAAATGCGTCAACTATAAGCTTATCATCCAGATATTCATTATGTATCAGCATTATTTCACTACAAGAAAGAATTTGCTGTTAAGTTTCATGAAATCGCAAATTTCATCTTTTTGGATAATAAGCATCATTGCAAGGTTAGAGAACCCAGATTCCCTGTTGCTGCAATAAAGAGAGGAAAGAAAGTTGTGGTCAGTAGAGATATTATGTTTGAAGTTGCTGATCATAATTATACTAAAACAGGAATCATACTGAGTGTAGTGATGATATGTAATATATCCGAATCAATAAATGGAAATTTTTATGCAGAAAAAGTACATATTGGATTAAAGAATCCAATCTTTCAACCTTTTTCTCCTCTTTGTCATGCAACAGAATTATATCACATACTTCTTAAAGAAAAGTTTACCAATAAACCTATATTGTGTTTCTATACGGATGGTGGACCAGATCATTATTGCACATATGCCTGTGTTCAGCTCTCCTATATTTGCCTTTTTCTTGTATTAAATCTTGATTATTTGGTTGCTATTCGAACTTCACCACAACATTCATGAAAAAATCCTGTTGAACGTATTATGTTGATTTTGAATCTAGGATTACAAAGTGTTGGTCTGATGCAAACTAAAATGAATGATGAATCAGAAAAATTAATAAGTAAGGTAGCATAATGAGTG